TTATTTTGTGTGTCCATGTTAGGTCCCACGAGTAGCTAGGGAAATAAACCATACGGCCGAGGCAGAGCCCCGCTTGCCCCAGTCGGGCTAGTTAAGCCGTGGGGTCGCCACATCCCTGGAGTTCGCATAGTATCGATTAGGCTCTCCCCTAACCACGCAGTCCTTGGCCTATGCTGTTCCACCGTGACTTGGAGGGATTTTTATTGTGGTTCGCCTTCCACTTGGCCGACCAGTTAAGGTAGGCCCTCACGCTCTAAGATACTTCCTCATCAACCACCGATCTTAGAGCGCGAGATATACCAGGCAGGTTTCCACGGAGGGTAGTCGACTCGGCCCCATCCCGAAACAGGGCCGCGAGACCCAGATTGCGGGCTGAGGCCGAGTCGAGTGTCCTCCTCCACGCTGTTTGTCTAGCAGACACCCAGCATACCAGGATGCTGAGTGTCTGCTTTCCTGGTATGGTGAGCCACCCTTGGTCACGACCAAACGACTCCACATCTCTGCAGCGACGTAATGGCACCATACCTACAGCCTTTACTATTTAAGGTAGAAAAAAAACTTAAATACAAAACTTGACAGTTTTTTCTGTATTTTCTGATAACGTTATCAGAAAAAACAAAATCGCATCGGAAAATGGAGAAACGTAAGCAACTTTGACTTTTTTAATGGACCACCCTGTATATTATGCGATAAAATGAAAGATCTATTCTTTCTGATTCCAAATATATATATATATATATATATATATATATATATATATATATATATATATATATATATATATATATATTGATAACATTTGCTTGAGCAATTTTTGACATATCTCGGGTTAAATTATAAAGAATTTGCAGAAAAGTTCCAAGGATCTCTATCTTTATAAAATTTCTTTGCAATTTAGTTATAATTTAAGCTGAGATATGTCAAAAATGGCTCATGCAAATGTGATCAACATATATATATTTGTAATCAGGAAGAAAAGGTCTTTCATTTTATCGCAAAAAATACAGGGTGTTCCATTTAAAAAGTCGAAGTTGTCTACGTTTCTCCATTTTCCGATGCGATTTTTTTTTTCTGATAACGTTAAAAGAAAATATAGAAAAAAACTGTCAAGTTTTGTATTTACAATTTTTTTCTATCTTAAATAGTAAAGGCTGTAGGTATGGTGCCAAATATAATCAAATAACCTGTACGGCCGCTGAGCCTCTCCACCAACGACAAGGTCTCGTGGCTCCCCGGAGAGGAACTATAAGAGATACGAGGTCCAACTAAAAGCCATCACATGCACAGATACGGGTGCAGAGGTAAGCGTGGTAGGTGAAAATTTCATTCAGAAAGCAAAATTTTCATATGAAAATTAAAAAAAAGAAACGTATAAGGCTTAAATCAGCTGATACTACAAAGATCAAAGTATTTGGATGTATCGACTGTGAAATAAGCTATGAAAATAACAACAGAAGTGAAAATTTATGTTTGCAAGAATATCAAAGATCTCTTGCTTGATAGATCACCGCTTATAAAACTTGGCATACTTCATCCAGAATTTCCAAAACCGATAGTATATGAAACATATCCAATAAATGTTTTAAACGAAATTGAACAAGATCCTTCTGGAGAAGAAATAAAAAAAAAAAGGAAACAACTACTGGAACAATATAAAGTCGTTTTCGATACAAAAATCTTGAAACCGATGGATATGAAAAATCTGTAGGTACGCATACATTTGATGGAAAACTATGAACCATATGCTATCACATGTCCCAGGAAAATTCCATATGCTTGGCTAGATCCAGTGAAAAAGGAATTAGACGACTTATTAGCCCAAAATATCATGCCACCTGATGATATTGAATTTGTAAGTCCTTTAGTAGTGGTTCAAAAATCAAATGGAAAAATACGAATATGTGTAGACTATACAAAACTAAACCAAACCACTATGTCAAAAGGCCAACATATCCATTTAAGTCAACATAGCAGGCAATTTCAAACATCAGTGGAAAATCAAAATATTTCTCTTCATTAGATGCAAAAAGTGGATACTGGCAATTAGCACTAGATGTTGCTCGAACGTTGTAGATCCAAATCGATCACATTGAATCCTGAAAAGTTTGTTTTTACACAACCAGAACTATCCTATGTTGGGAATATTGTAGGAAAAAATGGAATTCAGGCAGATCCTAAAAAACTCGAAGCTATAGAAAAATTTCCGGTGCCACAGAACATTACTTAGCTTAGATCTTTCATGGGACTCGTAAATCAACTGGGGTATTTCTCTTCAGGAATAAGCGACACTACTAGACCTCTAAGAGAACTTCTAAAGATAAAGAAATCAATTTATTTGGGGTGAAAATAATCATGAAGCATTTAACAATGTCAAAAAAGCTTTGGCAAATTCTCCTATTCTAAGAGTGAAACTAATCATGAAGCATTTAATAATGTCAAAAAAGCTTTGGCAAATTCTCCTATTCTACAACATTTTGATCGAACTAAACCAAAAGTGCTATACGCAGATTCATCAAAAACGAATGGATTGGGTTAGGGGAAGTTGATACAATGAATGCGGATGTCGTTTTTTATCTGACAGAAACAAGATACTTGATACCTATATAGAACTTCCAGACATAACGTGGGCTGTGATGAAATGTAGGTTATACTCGTTATACCTCTTAGGTATACAGTCATTCGCCATTGTTACGGATCACAAACCACTCGTAGCTATCCCAAATAAATTCAATCTGGATTCAATCGAAAATCCGAGACTACAAGGACTAAAAGAAAAGTTATCAGGATATAGATTTAAAGCGGAATGGCGGAAAGGCTAGTAGCACTTTATTCCTGATGCTCTTTCTCGCGCACCAATTTCAAATCCAATGGCAGAAGATTTACTGGCAGAAGAAGCAACAAGTCACATGAAAACCATGATAGTCCAACAAATTAATATCTTTGGCAGACAAGAAGTTCTCATCTGAGAGATCCAATGATTTTGCAACTTCAAGCTTTAGCAAGAGAAGACGAGGAATACAAGCTGCTTGTGGACCGGATTCAAAATATTTTTCCAAAAAATAAAAAAGATCTCTAAGCGGAAACTTAGCTATAATGAGCTAATAGTTAAGGGAAATACAATTTTGATACCCAATAAGGCGTCGCGCAAAATAATTGCAGAGAAATTACACGCTTCCCATCAAGGCATTGATAGAACACTATAGACTGTCAGATAGTGACATATTTAGGTGCCCCATTTTCGTATACAAGCCTCGAAGAGGGTTGAAAAGTACATCGATTTTGAGTAGGATGAAGGTATTTTCACGGGTGGCTCCTGGGGATAACATATGAAAAATTGGATTTTCCATATCAGAAATGAAAGACGTCCTGGTGGACATTTGACATGTGGAGATCTTTTGACATTGATTATTGATAACTGTAAAATTTAAAAAGGTTGTCAATAAAGTTATATACAAAACTAGCTGACCCGGCGAACTTCGTACCGCCTCTGAATTATTAAATACCTATTAAATGTTGTGTTAACGTATCTATTAGCTGAATTAAATTTAGTTTTTTTCGATGGTGAATTTGGCTTTGGTTGAAGAAAATTAATGTTTACTCTCTGGATCAGAAGTCACCTAAAATTAAAATTTTACATCATCCCTTTTTAGGCAGCTTGTGGGCATTATTCTTGAAAAGTGTACCACCAAATAAATAAACTCAGACCACATTAATGACATAACAACATGCTGGTACTGTCAACGCTGAAAAAAAGTTTCAATTTGACAGCCAAATCCCCATTAACAAAATTATCCTCTATTTATTGAATAATTCATTTATTACAAAAAATGTGATAAATGAAGAACCGCTCGACCGATTTTGTGCAAACTTCACATAAACCATCTAATAAATAGTCCGAACAAAGCCTAAACATTTGGTTTGGCTAGGTAAGCCCGTTCTTGAGTTATAAAATTACAACGAAAAGTGGCATTAATTTTTATATATATAGATTTAAACATAACAGGGGTCACCATGCAGGCTGGCAGATTAATATACCTTCGTTATCAGAGACACTTGGGGCACATAAACTATCAATATCTGACGCGCCGGAGCATTTTTTTACATTTTTGAAAACCTGTAGACGCTCCCCTCACCGGTGAAAACGTACACATCATGACCTGTTTTTCTTTATATTATCTTCAAAATCTAATAGGTCCCCACGATGCTCGAGTAAATCACCATTTAGCATTGTCAGCTCCCCTACTATCATAAGCGGATGCTCACTATTATCCCTAATAGAAAGAAGGAGGCACAATTAACATTGAAAATAGGCCCCCGTAAATTTCAACCAAATTCCAATACTTTAAAGGAATCATCATTGCAAAGAAAAATTTGAAAAGTACGTAGGTCCTGCTATGCATAGGAAAAATCCGAGGAAATACCCCTATGTAGATCTTCTTGATGGATATCCCGAAAAATACTAATCCGATTTCGACGTTTTTGGGGACCTTTTGTAGGTATCAAACTCCAAAAAGTTCAAAATCGGATTAGTATTTTTCGTGATATTCAAGAAAATCTATGTAAGGATATTTACTCAGATATTTCCTATGCATAGCATAGCAGGACCTACGTACTTTGATGAGCTATATCTGCTATCACAGGCATACGATCCTCTTTACATTTTAAATTTTTTCTTGCAATGATGATACCTTCAAAATATTGGAATTTGGTTGAAATTTACGGGGGCCTATTTTCAATGAAAATTGTGCCTCCTTCTTTATTCTTATAATAAGAGTTATTATGCTTTCCTAATTGATTTTGAAAGAGTTTCTATATTCTTAATGTTTTTAAAAAGTTCTGCATTATAGTTGCTCGATATACATTATTTCTTTTAATGCTGATAGATTCATATATCATGGTGTTCAAGTTTTTTTCACTAGGTATATCTAAAATGTCAGATCACACGAACAACTTGATTTTCCTAACACTTCCTGACAATTAAGTACCTAATTTATTTATAGTTTTACTGGCGAAGAAGAAATATTATGGTAAAACCTCTCCTAAAGGCTGGCATTGGAGCAATAATATTAGAAAATCCATTTTACGGATTAAGAAAACCAAAGGATCAAAATAGATCATGTGTGCAATATGTCTCAGACATATTCGTGATGGGTGGCTGCCTGATTTTAGAATGCTTAGTTTTGTTAAATTTCTGTGAAAAGCTTGGACTTGGCCCTCTGGGTGTCACTGGGATATCAATGGGGGGACACGTAAGTATTTTATATAAAAAATCACTTCCTTTTTTCTACTTTCGGATTCACCTTGGCTTGGATAACAAGGGTCAAAGCACGTTTATGAGCATATAAAACACAATTGGGAGCAGCAAATGGTACAAAGTTTTAGCTGAATTTCGTCTCAGGCTTGTTCAGCTTTGATCCGACCTATAGTCAAATAGCGCGTAGTAAGGAGGCTCTATCACTAAATCATCGGGACGGGAACCTCTTATGGCTTCTTTCATACCTTACCTTAACGTTTGTCATAGGAAAATACACATACTCATTTAGATTTTCCAGTAATTCTGAAATCATTAGCATTCCCGGTAAGAAATGAGAAAATGAAATCATTAAGATCTAACCAACGGATTATAAAAATTGAAGGAACTTTTAGTTGAAAAAAATGGACAACCGAGTAAAATCGAAAAACGGGAGTCGTCGGTGAAGGTATTAAAATGAAGGTGCCAAATGTGATCCATGATCTTTAGACACCAAAAGAACATGTTACGCGTGTGGTACTAGAGAATGCATGGTATTTGTGGAAGTAACCGATGAGCTCTTTCAATCTACACAAAATATTATGATTGATAATGAAAAATGAAAACAATTCAACTTCATGACAGGCTGGTAATAAAGTTTGTAATAAAACACAATATAAAACCGTAATAAACAAAATAAATCCGCAAAACTGTTTTCAATGACTTTTTGGTGATATTGGTAAAATTCTTTCGAACCCTGTTCAAACCAAATTAGTAGATACAACAAACTGAGAGTGGACGGAGGTGTGTTACATGGGGTGTTCCACACGGACACGGCACAGTCCTCGGACCCTTTTTTCTATTACATATTTATGTTAACAGTTTGTGAAAAATCAACTTTCTGGGAGAAATTGTGAGTTTTGCTGATGACTCCTTTGTGTCTCATTTGGCGGAAAATTGGGGAATAGGGTAGTGGACAATTTTTTGAAATATATTTTTTCATTAATCTTCATAACATAACAAAGTAAACGGTAGTTGATAATTATTTGATTTGAGAAAACAGGAATATACGTAAAAAAAAAATTAACAAATTTGTACTTATTTTAAACGCTATAATTTACCGCCCGGAAATTACGTCATAGCTGTTATTTCCAATAGCGTCAAGGCATTCCGACAATAATAAGAGTGGCGAGAGCGCGGTCTGTGCGTCCTTATATTTTACATGCTTTTAGAAAAAGATGCCGATAAACTCAGTGCGCGCTGATTGACAAATGGAAATCTCTCAAAAAGTGGGGTTATGTTGAGGGGGCGCCTAGATGTAATGATACCCGACAGACGTTGATATATCTCTCTTTTTTGCACTGATGAGTAAGTTTGTGTATCGAACGTAGGTTTGATTCAATTCATACTCAAATACAGCAGCTATGACGTAGAATCAAGGCGCGAAATATTTCCGTTTTAATAGTGTGTCCCAAAACTCTACTTTCACAACTGTTTTAAACAAGGTTAGTAATTTTATCTAAAATTTCTTTTAATACGAATATTTTTTATTTACTTCACTAATGTAGAATAGATCATCGATTTCATTGGAATTATACCTTGTCCACTACCCTATTGTGAAATCTCAAGCAAGGAAAAATGTATTTCACATTTTCTATTGGTTTGAAATACATAGTTTGAATACAATAAATCAACACTATATCGATGGAGATATAGACTAAAAACAAAAATTTTACCACTAACATCATACAATAGGGATATGCTTTAGTTCGATTCTTTGGCAGTTTCTCAGGATCGAGTATTAGAAAAACGAATGAAATTAAATATTTAGAAGGTATGATTGATCCGGATTTATGGTGGTACGAACATGTCAAATATGTGGTTAGTAAAACAATGTTTCACGTATTCCATTTTTTTTTAAATAAAAAATGTCTAAATTAAGCACTTTTCCAGTCGCAAATGACGTACCGTCTTGCGGGATGGGTTGGTGTAAGAGAATGGCGTATAGGGATGTGACGATTCGAGTTCAATACTTGATCGTGCAATCAGCTAGCCCTGAGCTCCAGGGACCCAATCGTCTTCGTTTTTATGCCATTGGGTTGGAACTCCAGCTCAACGACAATGGGTCTGCTGACTGTGCATCGGCATAACCACGTTAATAGAAGTCACGCACAGGCATCTTCGGTTCTAGGACACATAAGACCATTAACTCCAAAGCACACCAAAGTCCTTCGGCGACCGGTGAGTAGGAGGATAGTGTAGTCTGAAAACTCTTAGTGACAACCCGGCATGGAGGCGGCGGCTAGCGTGATCGCCGTTTTGCTCAAGGATTAGCTGTAGAGCAACTCGTGTGCTGCATGCGTGACTGAGCAGCCCTACTTAGGATCCGCTCTGCTCACCCTGAAAGGGAAGGAGCTTTGAAAGGTGCCCTAAACAATAAACATAGCCAGCCAACAATCTGCGCGGCTGGATAACCGCGCCCAACAAAACAAACTCAATCTTGCCACGTGACATATTCGTAAACTTATGGATACCAGTACAGATACAAGATCACAACGAAGAACGGTTTTGGTGGCTCGTGAATTGAGGAGATTCAACATCGATATTGCAGCTCTAAGTGAAACCTGAAGAGCAGGCGAAGGTCAACTCAAGGAGCACAGAGGAGGCTATACGTTTTTCTGAAAAGGGAAGGAAGAGGATGAACCTCGCATCCACGGAGTGGGTTTCGCCATTAAAAAATTAATTTATCGACCATCTTGCTGAGCTTCCATCCGGAATAAGCGAAAGACTTATTTACACTGCGACTAAACCTCAGCAACAATCAACAAGCTGCGCTAATCAGCGCCTGCGCTCCAAGCTCCAATCCTCACAACTGACGGTAACTGAAAACAGTGGCGGATCCAGGATTTTCTTCAGGGGGGGCGCAGGCTTAGAATTATCAACAATGATTTCTTGAAAATTTATTTTCACTTTACTTATACGTTAAAGAATGTGGGTACAGGGTGGTCCAATTTGGACACTTTTGATATGAAAAGTCAATTTCTGAGCCAGATACAAAATATGAACCCCCCACTCTGCTGACGCTCAAATTTCATGAAATTTTCATTGGTGCAAACACTGCAAACCGCCTTTTGATACCCTCAACCGTTTTGTCGCTAGAGGATGTTTCTCGATTTTGAGCAATAAGGTGAAACCTCTCTAACTTTTTTATTTATGAAAATAATTGATTTCTGTATAAACTTTATAGAGGTACTTTTCCAAGCAGAATTCAATGTCGTTATCAATTATTTTAATTTGTCTTATTTTTTTTAAATAAAAAACCCTATTAATAACTCATTGATAGCTCTATCGTTGCTTATTTTAGTGATACATAGGTATAAGGTTTTATAGGTCTATCTCTAACAGTTTTCTAGAAACAAAAATTATAGATGTTAGATTTTCATAATCTATCATTTGATACCACCTTTGAATTTAACCGGAGATTAAATTTAATTAGAATTTTTAATCATGGATTAAATTCACAGTTGGTGTCAAATGATAGTTTATAAAAATCTAAGATAGGAATGTAAAATCGGTTTTTCTCTAAAATTAACCGTTCAGGCTTTACAGCCTGTCAAAGTTGGAAAAAGTCAATTTTCAACTGTTAATATTTCCAAAACAGTTGAACTTAGATATAGGGTATATCACATGAAATCTGCTCAGAATTTTACGTAGAATCTAAATATGCAATCACATACAGGGTGTTCCATTTAAAATAGCGATGTTGCTACTGGTTTAGAGTAGAAGCGGCAACACTGCATAAACACAAATATTTTTAAAGTGTAGGTTGTGGTCGTTTATCCCGGTTGCCAAATTTTAAAAATGATCTGTTTTTTAATTTTCCATAAACGTCTAATACGCCATCCACCGTGGGATACCCTGTATAAAGTCACTTGCGTCTATATCTCAACGTGGCTCCTTCAGTATGCGCGTGCGCGTACTTTCCACAGAAAATTTTTAGGTTAGGTTTTCCAGTTTTGTCTTGCTTTTGATCTTGTACTTTTTTACTAAGTTCGTAATTTTGTTTCTATACTGACCCTGAAGTTTCTCACCACCCCGTTTAGGGTAATTTTTTTAGTTACGTATCTGTTGATTCGTGTCATGTGATGGAGGATAGAGGAAACAAGAAGAAAAACTATAAATGAGCAAATGTCCACTTTACTTGCTGATATATCTATGTATCAGAATTATGAGGCTCTATTATATGTTTTGAAAAGTCCATATAATAAAATCAGGAATGAATGCCATATGCCATTGAACGCCATTCCGTCCACACAGTGACGCTTTAACCTTTCTCTGGCCCGTAGGTCAATTATTTGGTATGGCCTTCCATGAGTGATTGTTCTTTTTTATAGGGTTAAATAAAATCATTCAGACGATTTCAAACTACTAACCTGGCAGAATATGAAGACAAAAAATGTTGCCAAGTAGTATTCGGTAAAATCGAAGAAAGGTATTACAAAATGATAGAACAAGAATGGTCACAAAACATGCTATATGGTCGGAACGTCCTAAAAGAAAATGATGGCATTGAGCTCCCAGCCTACCAATCACCACATATGGATGCTGGGGACTAAGAAGTGTACTTGATGGGTGCTTCGGAAGAACAGCTGCATGGCTTGGGATCAAATCCATTAGCGAGGAGAAGATGCATAAAGGGTTGCAACTCTGAGGAAAATTCGTACCACGTTGCCTGCGCATGTCCTACAAGCTCAACAACAACAAGGCACGACTTCGTAGTACACTGGACCCTTAAAACACTGCTCAAGTCCCTGGATGCTCCAGAAGAAGCTCAAAGAATCTTACAATTTGGCAAAGCAGCACAAACACTAACAGGTTCTTGCTGTAGACGTTGCCAGTTGCCACGTGCCCATGCTGCGCTAATGACGCGACGGCTATTCAGCGCAGCTCTTCAGCGCAGCTCTTCAGCGCAGCTCTTCAGCGCAGCTCTTCAGCGCAGCTCTTCAGCGCAGCTCTTCA